CTCCTGGAATTGAATGCCATTTATAAATCCAAACCTTGACTTTTTCAAGTCAGTTTCAAAGAAATACTTCTCCTGGCTGGAACCAGGTTGATTTGGAGTTGAGTTTGGAAGAATAAAGTGTCTTTTCCCCTCTTCCAGAGGGACATTAGAGCTCACAAAACGTGCCCCCTTCCTAACAGGCTCTGTGACACATTCACAGGTGCGTTGAACCACTGAACCGTGGAAGCCAGCTTCTCACTTCCAGTCACTCATAGCTTCCCTTCCTTAGTCATAGTCTCTAAATCTCCTTGGGAAAATTGTTAGTGACAAACTGACTAATTCTTCAGAACCAGTCAGGATTTGCCCTTTACTATTTTAGGAAGTTTTCCGCACATTTTTTTTTCATCCTTTGCTCAATAAAGTTCAGTCGTCATTGGCCATACCTAAAAATCCCTGAGGCGGGAAGCTTGTGCTCTATTAAAACTTTTCTTCAACTGTGTTAAGTAATATTGTCCTAAAAAGTTTCAAGCCCACAGTTCCCTCTCACGGGTGGCTATTTTGTATTTTATTTTCCCTAACAAGGCTTTCCAGGGTAAACCCCAAATCTTCTACAGCTATAGGAAGTAGCCAGAATTGAAGTAACCATTAAGTATCAAATGGAGTAAAAGGGATCCTGGAAGCCTTGACTAAATCTCCAAGAGCCTGAGTTCTATTTAGAAGTCAAAGCATGTATCAAGTTGAAGAACATTTAGTATTTAACGGATAATACCTGAGAACGCATTTTTGCTCTCTTGACTGCTTCCCCAAAAATAGAAACTGAAACGATAAGTAACTTATTCTGTGCCCTTGATAATTTTTTAAATGTTTTTGCTTCCATAGCCCAATTCTGTTTCCCCGTCCTATATACACTTCACTGAGAGGAATGGACAAACGCTTTTTTTGTTTCTCTGTGGGTTTTTTTGAACTGTATTTCCTTCAGGGCCATTTCACGGACAGGGATGGGTGGGAGACAGAGAGGTCACGGTCCTCACATTTAAAACCCTGCGTTATGTAATGAATCCACTCCTCATTGTGAATATGCATAGAGAGGTAAGGGTGTTTGTTCCTTTGGCAAGTTTGGAGGAGCAGATTTGCTTTTGAAACAGCTACATTTTACTCAGTACCTGCTAAGGCGAGTCAGTGCGCCCCCTGCTGACAAGTCAACAGTGCGACTCCCGAGCACTTCCAAAGTTTATTTTGTTCAGTAAACCGTGTCATATAAAATTAACAACAACCAATAAAATTAGCTTATATGTTTCAACTGTAAAAGTCCAAAACAAAATAAAGCTAGTTTTAGTGGCGCTAGAAATCTCTAGTTTGGCTTCTTCTCTTTGGCTGAACCGAGGTCCTTTTATCTAAAGCCCAGTGCACAAACATATAGCTTAATGTGACTAGTGTTCTTCCTTTTATTTCTTTCTCTATGGCAACCAATATGCTCTGCTCAGAAATGTTCCCCATCAAGGAAACAAATGATCTTCAGGGAGCAGCTCTATATGGCATCTGGTCCAATGGAGCACAGAGAGTTAACCCCAGTAAAAGCAACGCTGCCAAGCACGTAAACAAGGAGCGGAAAACTGGTGATTCTTACCACCCCCTCCCCAACTGAAACCGCTTCCTCCCTCCTTACAAACCATTTCACTGATTTGGCATCAACTGTTTCCAAAGAAATTACAAATTTTAAATTGTAAGGTGTTCCAGAAGCAAACGTGCAATACAATTCCAGCCATTTGAATCTACCCCCTTCATCACATCAGACTCGGCTTCCTTTAAAAAAGAACAAAACCAAGAAGCTTTTACAATCCTCTCCAGCCTATTTCACCAAGGTAAGGTGCCCACACAGGCTTGGCCTTGGCCTAGCTCTTTCCTCCAGCCATATTTATCTAATTAACTGCACCTCGCCAGTAACTTCCCCCTCGATTTATACAAAACCCAGGGACAGTGGCAAGGGGGGGAGGGCCAAAGCCGGCTGTCAAAATGGAAAACAAAGTAAAATCTGGTTTTTGATAATAAAGCTCCCGCTTCCTTTGGGAATAAAGTGGAGGATGTCCTGGTTAGTTTTGATTGATCACCCTTTTCTGATGGACTTTCACTACCGAGCTGGGAGGCAGTAACTGAGACTGCTTCTCAGACTCGCCATTAACCAGGGGTGCACTGACTTCCTGCCTCCTCTTCCTCCCCTGCTTCCTTCCACTGCAGCTCTCTGCCCTCCCTTTGCCAAGCCCCCCCCCATCCCCCTGCTCCCAGCAGGAATCCCCCCACCACAATCCCAGACAAGCACACATGGGTCACCACATCATCCCTGGCTACAGAAAGGGGGTAACTTCCCCTCTGGTCCTGATTCTCTGGGAGGGGGGGGGACCAAAACAAAAAATATGTATAATACTGCGTTCTTTATAATCATTTTTTTCTAGGGCTCTCCCTCACAACCAACAATTAAAATTAATAGCACTCTCCTCCCCCACCCCCCC